ATGGGACACACATCGGAGGCAATGAGGGGTTCAGTGTCTTGCCCAGGGACATTTCGGCACGTGAATGCTGGTGGAATCGAACCCCCAACTCTTGCATTGGAGGACGACTGCTCTAACCACTCAGCCACAGCCGCCCAGCCACAGTGTCAAGTGACGGATCCTGGAGAGTGGCAGGAGCAACTTTATCCACCACCAGAACCAATGGAGGAGCCAGGGGGTGGCTAGTGGTGGCCTTGGACGCCATAGACTATTCTTTGGACACCTCACCAGTCACCCCAATCATCTGAGGAAACTATACTTCTAAGCTGTTTTCAGATCCATTATTAAATTGTTGATTTGACAGACTTGTAATCAGACTCACCTGAGGGAGAACCACTGATCAGTGAGCTTGGCCAGCCAGCGCCTCTGTTTAAGGAGAAGTTTGAACAGGTGAGCAGTGAAACCTCTGCAGCGCTGTATGGTCCCCACACCCAGCTCCTACAGCCAAACAGAAACATACACACATCAGACTGAATAGCAAACATATAGATGCCACAACACTTTATCTCATAAATGGGGCTGAGATGGGTTAGAGGTAGGGCAGCCGAACTGGGACAAGAAAGTCATGGTTCGACTCCCAGCCATTCCCACATGTCATGGTGTCTCTGAGCAAAACACCCAATCCCTAATTGCTCCCCGGGCACTCAATAGCTGCCCACTGCTCCACCTGGATGTATCCCAGGTGTGATGGGTTAAATATAGAAAACTAATTTTGTTATTGTATGGGAACATACAATGATGACAACACATAACACTTACTTATATATTTCAGACTAAAGTGTAAACAGAAGCTTTGTTTCCATTGAAACCACCACAGTCCATATACTGGGTATATAAGAAATGCTACTTTTGACCAAAATGAATGAGGCTGTTTGGATAACAAGGTGTTATTCTCAACAAGATGTGTTGTTCTCATGTTTACAATGTTATTTCTTTTCATTTGAGGGTACTGTTGAAAAAGCATCAAGAAGAAGACATCACTGTATTTTAGTGGTGTAACGGTACACGTGGGTGTATTGAACCGTTTCGATACGGCATGTTCGGTTCTGTCCACGTGCGTACCGTTTCAGTTATTTTTTTCACTCATTAAATTTTATTAACAAGAGATTATGCGCCGCAGAACTAAAGTTCTTAAGCGTGTTTCAGCACAGCACTATTATCTTGCAGCATGCGTAGCGTTAGCAGCCTAGCATCTCGCTGTGGTCTCCTGTTTGGGAACATTATGACTTTCTTGTTAAAAGACAAGTGAACAAATCCAAAGCTGTTTGTCGACGTTGTTTCATGGAGATTGGATCTGCAGCAGCAACACGTCTAACTTGTTAACGCACTTGAAACAACATCATCCGAATGTGAACGTAGTTTGGTGCAAAGAGCGATAAAGGCAGCATTTAAACAACCTTTATCAGGTAATTCAGATCAGTCCAGAGCAATAACACAAGCTGTAGAAGTTTTTAAAGCTCTGGATCTACGTCTGAATGTTGTTGATGTGCCGGCTTTAAGCATATGATTAAAGTTCTTGAGCCCTGCTGCCTACGACATCCATCACATCAACACTTCAGCCAAAAAGTTGTAGCAGCACTTTCTGAAAAGGATAAAACTGATCGTCAACAAGCCCTGGACCAGATTTAAAGCCCTGCCCTGATGATGAACGAGAGATTCAACCACTTCATATGATGATCGTGCAAGAAGAGGTATTGTTCAGTGTTTCCCCTACCATTATACAAGCCGGGCGCCCCGCCCTGTCAGCAGAACCGAGCGCCCCGTCTACCGAACCCCACCCCCCACCCCCAACCACCTGTCGGTACTGACGTAACGCTAAACTAGCGGCATGCAATGCGGGTGCACTAGCTAAAAAGCTAAAGGGAGCCTCTTCCTTCATACTGAACCCTCACGCTGAACGCACCTCCGCCACTCGAAAACTGTCGGTACAAACAGTGCATTGCTCAGATGTGCGTCCGTCTCTCCCCCGCACCAACATCCCCCCCCCCCTTCCAAAAAAAAAAAACTGTTCAGATGGCTGAGATATGTCTCTGTCTCCCTCCTCTCACACACCCTGCTCTAAAACTGTCAGTACAAACAGAACGCGGCTGTCTGTGTGTCGCGCAAAACTGTTGGTTTAAACAGCGCGCTGCGCTGCTGAGACCAAGTCTCCCCCCACCACCACCACCACACACACACAGACAAAAATCACGGACGAGATGAGCGTCCCGCCATGGCAAGTTATCTAGGGGAAACAGTGTTGTTATTGTATTATTGTGATCTAATTAACTTTTCTAATTTAAAATTAAAATCTTATTACCTCAATTTTTTTTTAATCTCTGTGTTGTTGGCAGTCTGAGGATGACAGTAACCGAGTCTTCTTCATCCACCAGATCACCTTCAGCTAAGAAGTCTGTAATGACTGAACTTGCTTACTTTGCATATTTTCAAAATACACATTTGTAAGTCTTTATTTTGGCTTTTTTTGTACCGAAAATTAACCGAACCAAGCCCTCCTTGAAACTGAACCAAACCGAAATGTGATTTTAGTGTACCGTTACACACTTACTGTATTTTGTAAGGTCATCTGTTGTAATACTACAATTAATGTAAAACATTTGCGTTTGTTTGACATTTGTATCCTATTTCATTACATTTACAAAAAACTAGTAAAAAAATGTAAATGTCAGCCTCTGTGTTTTATCAGTTACATTTTGTATGTTTGTACGTGTATTTTTCATTTATGCTTCTCGTGTAAAAATGACAAGCGTGTGACCTTTGCTGCATGTTGGAGAGCCGTCTGCAGGGCTGTTTTCCTGGCCCACGAACGGTAGAAATATTTCTGGCATCCATGCCATGCAGTCTTTAACTCTGTAAACAACCTACAAGTATGGGGACAAAATGCAGGTACTTAGCACAAAACAACAACAACAACAACAACAACAACAACAACAACAACAACAACAACAACAACAACAACAACAACATATCTATACAGGATTTAGCTTGCCTAGTATCTGAATTGGAGAGACAAAGAAAGAAATACAATGTAAGACTAAATATCACTTCACCACTCGCTCCCCACGAGATCGGATGCTTCTCTCCCTCCCTCTCCGCTTTGCTGCTCTGTCTGTCTGTGAAATTGCTTTGAGACTCTCTTGCATTTCTTCCGAACCATAATTATGGACTAGTTTCGACCAGTTGGTCCCTTATCTCAATTTACAACATTTCTTCGAAGAGAAGACAGGCTTTGGGCGAGCCAAATTTACCCTGTTGGCACGTACGCAGCTGGATCTCATCGACTGGAAAATTTGATGATGTGTCTATCTCTGCTGCCATCTGTGGATTTTAAGGACGCATATTTAATTGGATTTTCGATAACTGGTTCCTGCATTTTGGATTCAGCTGGTGCTGGTTTTATCTACAATCAAGGAAGTCGTCAGCAGCAAATTTGGACCCGATCACGCTGCTTGCCTTTATGATGGCTTGGTTCATGTCTGGAGTACCCGGACTCAAATGCTTTGGGCTGAATGGATCAGATCTTGGGGATTTTTACTCAGACATGTTTCCATCGGTGTTGGCCATGTTAATTTGGACATTTCGGAACCGAGATGACCAACACAGACTGAAGGTTGATGTCATTAAGTTCTGCCTGTCCCTAAAACAACTGTGTTTATCTAAATTTTGGTCACCTTGGTTGTCCTTGAAGGCCATCTTATCTAAAGTCGCCTGGAGAAAATGTGATCTGACGCTCACCACCCCCTCCCTGAGGAATTTCCAACTGATAACCAGATGAAACCAGCTGAAAAAACTTTCTGTCATCATTTCAGGACTCTGGATTCTTATAGAGGTTATCCTTGGTCATTTCTCGACATACCTCGAGAATGTTTATTGGTCTCACCAGAGGACATTGACTGATTACAGTGACCTCGAGAGCATCTATAAGCGTTGTTGACCGTTCTCGTCTCTGATGCAGAATGTCTACATAAATATGTGCTTGTTTGTGCGAGGTGTTTTTTCAATATTAGAGGTTTTTCTCAGCCAAGAAAAAAGTCTGATAGGAATTTTTTTTTCGCCTCCAACTCCTACATGTGTCCAGTTAATCACTGTTTTTGTCTGTCCAAACAGGTCTTACTTGTAAATGAGTCTTCGAGGCTCAATGTGATTTATGTTTAAATAAAGGTTGAATGAATGAAAAATTACTTAAAAAGCAAACACTAGTCACTGTTAATACTTCTGCTGGCAATTATCTATCAACTCCTCAATTATCTATCAACTCGTCAATTATCTATCAACTCCTCAATTATCTATCAACTCATCAATTATCCATCAACTCATCCATGCATTTATCTAGTTAAGCTGCATATCCTTTTTCCAAGCAATTCGTCTTTCAGGTAGGTTTTAGAAGATTGTCACACAAAAGTCCAGGAGCAGGTTTACGTTAATCTTTAATGCTGAACATGATTTTTGTTTTCCTCATAAAGAGTCGTAGCTAACAGTGCTAACAGACGGCATTGGAAGGTCAGTCTGGTGTGTTTACATGCTCTCAGCTGGCTCCTGGTTCTTCACAGCAGAGAGAGCAGTGGTGATGTCCAGGGGCTGCAGACACAGGGGGGTCTCTGAATCTGCTGTTCTGTTCCACATCAGGCCCTTACGATATGACAAACCTTAAAACAAATATCATATTGTTCAATTATGCATTTAAACTAAGACAATAACGTAATAGAGATGAAGAAAAGGTGTAAATGAAACTGACCCATTTCAGAAAGCATCTTGAACAGATCTGACAGCGCTCTCTGCTTCTGCTGCTGGATGTGCTTGAACTCAGTCTTCTGCTTTTCTTTATCAGCTGTTGGGTCTGCAGTGAGACTTTGCAGCTCCTGCAGGTTGCTGACTACTTGACCTGATAACAAAAAGCACATGGGGGTATAAATGTTGGGGGTGGATTAAAAAAAGTACAATTGGTGTCATCAGGAGCAGAGAGATGTCTCAAGTGTTCCCGTTGTATTTTCTGAAATATTGATATGATATGAAGTGTGAGCACAACTCTAGTTTCACATCAAGGAGGACGGCAGCATCAGCGCCTTTTTGGTGGTGGTGGTGGTGGTGGTGGGTGGGGGGGGGTGTCAGGTTCATGTGTGTAACCACACATTGTCGCAGGATGTGATTTGTTTGATCCGTTCATTTGTGGATAACCAAAGATTGTTTACAGTGAGCATCACTGTGGTCGTATCATGGAAACATAATGTGAAAGGGGAGTGGTGGCGCAGAGGTTAGAGAGGTGGGCTTGTGATCCGAAGATCGCCGGTTCACGGACCAGCCCCGACAACATCAAAAATTGTGGGTGGGGTAGGTGAAACACCCACACTTGCCCCCACCCTCATTCGCCCCACTCTGGGCCCATGAGCAAGGCCCTTAACCCCACCATGTGCTCCCTAAACAGGTCTCTCTTGAAAATGAGTTCTCGTGGCTCAATGAGACTAACCTGGATAAATAAAGGCTAAATGAAAAAATGAAATGAAAGGAGTGAAAATAATCAATCCGTCCATCCACCAATACACCCATCAATACATCCTTTCATCAGTCTTTACATCCATCCAACCAACCAACAAACCAGTTGGTTGTCCCGCCCTGACGGTTGATGTAAAATACCACCATTGAGTTGTCGGTCTTCACTAAGACATGACGGTCCTTGAGATGGGGCAGAAAATGCTTTAAAGCTAGGAGACCTGCCTGCAGTTCCAGCACATTTGGGGAGTGGAAGCGCAGAGGTTAGAAGATGGGCCTGTGATCGGAAAGTCGCAAGTTCAACTCCCAGTACTGTCAACATCAAAATGTGGGTGGAAAAGGTGAAACACTCACACCTGCCTCCATCCTCATTGGCCCTACTCTGGCCCCCCTTAACCCCCACCATCTGAACCCTAAACAGTTCTTTCTTGAAAATGAGTCCTCGTGACTCAGACTACCTGGATAAATAAAGAGTAAATGAAAAACAAAAATTATGCAGAGACGTGAAATTTTCCATAACTACATATTGTTCACTACTCTGCCCATAATGGTTGCACCCCATCCTGTCCCCATTTTGGATGCATCTGTTGTCATGGTGACCCTGGATGTTACTGCCCCCATCTGTGCCCCAGTGGTAAAAACCACCTGCAGGGCTGGAGAGCCATCATACATGTCAGAGATATTTTCATTCTGCGATGCAAATGGCAGTGGGAGCACAATTTTAGTGATGCAACCCCTCACTGGAAATCCCTCATCGTTGGAAGACCCAGTTTCACCACAGTAATTACTGAGACCATTACAAAGTCTGAATGAAACGACTCTCCTCAGCTGAAAATGCTCTGGGAGAAGGATATGATCCTTCTCTCTGACAGCGTTACGTGATATGAGAGGGAGTTACACATGTAACCGCTCAGTTACTTAAAACCGAGCGGCAGCAGGAACAGCTCACCTCGACGTGGTCACTGCTCATGTATGTAACAAAGATACTTCAGCACAATTCAAACTGAAGCCAGGAACTGCGTTTGGCGATGTGCTCCTTTATGGGACGCCTGGGAACTGTCTAGCAGCTAACCTAGCTAGAATGAGCTGAGGGAGCTTAGATGTGGTTTCTCATGGGAAGAAAGCAAGGAGTAGGTGGTTGGTAGACCGTGGTATCATGACGGGGGCGGAGCCCTGAACACAGCTCAACTGGTCTGTCTCAGACAGACGTGATGTCATTGGAGCTTCAGAAGTTGGTCACGATGGAGTAGGGGTGCAGAAAAAAAATTGTTTTTTTGATTAATCTAGATTCGTAGTCCTGGCGATACTGAATAATTTCTAAAGGTCCATAAATCAATTTTAAAATACATTTAAGGTTTATATTTTTTCCACTCCTACTCCCCGTTCGGCCGCCGTAGAATTGAGCCGTGTAGGCCACCGTACAGCAAGCTAGTTAGCCAGCTCCCTTTATCTGAATGGAGCCTGCTAGCATGGAGGACAGCACGATTCAACCCGCTGCTTCATCTTTAAAAAACATTTCAGATTCTACAATGTTACGGGGGAATACAGAGCCTTACAAGAGCACAGATGTTTACAAGAAGCGTAAAATAAAATTGCGGTACAGTATTTTGGAAATACGACAAAATTCACGGAAGATGAAAGCGAAGCAGCCGACCAGTGAACTCTGCAACAAACTTCCAGGCTTCTCCAAAGGCTGTGAAGATTTCCCTCTCCATCTCCTGCTGTATCACAAAGGATTTACGAGCAGACAGCTCAGTGGAAGGTGAGGGGTTTAGGTTTATTTCAAATACGATGGATTCAACGTACGTTATTCCTTCATGTAGATTTTTTTTTTTTTTTGCGATAAAGCAGCACCACAACTTCACCATGAAACAACAAATGGGAGAAGCTCTGATGCAGCTGCAGCTCAAAGGTAACTGTTATTTCTCATATTATACTAAAACTTGACAAGTTGTACAACAAAACTTAATGTAATTTGTCTTTTTATCAGGTTGAAGAGGACAGATGAGACACATCTCCTGGAGCCAGTTCTAAATGATAGTTTAGATGGTTAATAAATTATAGTAAAGAAGAGGTTTTTGTGCAAACTTGCACAGGTTTTGAAATTTTGTTAAAGATTTACTAAATATGAATCAATATGGTTAAGACTGTGAAGTCTGTATATTTCATATTAGGTTAAGATTTGAAAACATAACAAATGTTAGAGCAATATGGTTAAAAATAACTGAAGTCTGTATTTTATTTTGTGTTCAAGTTTAATATACTATGGTAGGCTGAAGTCTGTTTACTTTTATATTTATATAATTTGAATTATTTGTCTGTGATGGACTGGAGACCTGTCCAGGTGCCTCTCACACAGTGATGGCTGATATGGGCACCAGTGACACCCGTGACTCGTAAAGGAAGAAGTGGGTAAACATGATGGATGGATGAATTATTTGTTCCTAGATTTTTATTTTATTATTTATTTATTTATTTTTTTAATTCAGGCAACTAAGCTAACCTAATACTGGTAATTTAAGTTACAGAATGTTTTGCACTCCTATATTTTTTCCTATTTTTGGTATAAATATAAAATGAATCAAAAAGATTTGATACAGTAAAGAACCTAAAAGTATTGTTTTAAATAAATTTTCTATTTGTTTACATTATTGTTTAATCTTTTCAGCGTGTCAGCTACATAACTGAAACAAAATTTACAACTATTTCAATAGAAAAATAGTTTTTGAATAGAAAAATCGATTTGGAATCGTATCGTGACACCAAAAATCAGAATCGAATCGGATTGTCAGACACTGAGAGATTCGCACCCCTACGATGGAGCGTTTCCCACAGTGAAACACCAAACAAAGTTAGAAAAAGAACTTAAAATTTTATTTCTGCAAAAGGGGAAGACATACCTGTAAAGTAGTCCAGATCTTCAGACAGCTCAGGCACTTGGTTTTGCTTCAGCACCTGGTTACAGATCTTTTTCATTTTGCGGGAAAGAACAGGCAGACGTGCCTGTAAGGAAGAGGCTTCAACTCCTTCATCTGGACCGCCATTCTGAAATATACAAGTGTCAGTAAAAGAGACTCTTTCATCACAGTGGTGTAGAACCAACACGTGCTTTATAGACCTGTATCTGCAGATCTCGGCCTGTTCCTGGTGGGATGTTCTTCAGGACCCGGTGAATCTGTTGGAGGGGACTTTCTTCCAAGTTAGCATCCACACTGTCTACGCCTGCGTCTCTTCCTTGTTCTACCAGAGCAGGAAGACTTGGACTATTCAGAGCCTCCTCAAATTTCTTTAAAAACTTAAAGAGGGTCCTGAAAAAAAAGCACAGTCAGGAAGTGTTTGGAAGCAACATCTCTTCTCAGAGATAGTGTAAAAGTTCAGATTAACAAGTGATACACTAATGTTCCCCGTCGCTGAGAAATGCTTGTCTGACACAGTCCAGAGTGATGGATCCTTTTGAAAGGAAGAAGAAATTTTATCCACGAGCAGGCCCAATGGTGGAGCCAGGGGGTAGCCAATGGTGGCCTTGGCCACCATAGATTAATCTTCAGTCCTCCCCAATCATTTGACTTTTAAACACTATAAAAACTAGAAAGCGTAATTTCCTCAAATGATAGGAATTTACACACACATGTACACTATGTAAGGGGCAATATATATACACTGCCTGGCCCAAAAAAAAAGTCTCCACCTGGATTTAAATAAACAAACAGGTATGAGCCTCCTATTGGATAATTACTGCATGAGCGATTATCTTTCAGCTGCAACAAGTTATTTAACCCCAACTGGTGCAATGAGTTGCTTCTCATTTCTTAAACAACCATGTTGAAAGACACATCGTGTGGTCGTGGAAAAGATGTCAGTCTGTTTGAGAAGGGTCAAATCATTGGCATCAAGCAGAGAAAACATCTAAGGAGATTGTAGAAACTACTAAAATTGGGTTAAGAACTGTCCAACGCATTATTAAAAACTGGAAGGATAGTGGGAACCCATCGTCTTCGAGGAAGAAATGTGGGCGGAAAAAAATCATGAATGATTGTGATCAGCGATCACTTAAACGTTTGGTGAAATCAAATGGAAGAAAAACAACAGTAGCACTCAGGGCTATGTTTAATAGTGAAAGTAAGAGCATTTCGCACAATGTGAAGGGAGCTCAAGGGATTGGAAGTGAACAGCTGTGTAGCCTTAAGAAAACCACTAATCAGTGAGGCTAACTGGAAAAAAAGGCTTCAGTTTGCTAGGGAGCATAAAGATTGGACTCTGGAGCAATGGAAGAAGGTCATGTGGTCGGATGAGTCCAGATTTACCCTGTTCCAGAGTGATGGGTGCATCAGGGGAGAGGCAGGTGAAGTGATGCACCTATCATGCCTAGTGTCTAGTCATCAATGCAAGATCTTGGTGAAAAATTAATGCAACAGGATGGAAATAGATCTTGTGACATTGTAGAAGCTTATTGAAACAATGACACAGTGACTGCATGCCGTAATCAAAGCTAAAGGTGGTCCAACAAAATATTAGTGTGTGACTTGTTTTTTTTTTGGTGGCGACTTTTTTTTGGCCAGGCATATATATGTATAGGCTGCGGTAGTTCAGTGGTCAGTGCCGTGGTCTTGCAAACCTGATGTTGCGGGTCTGAGCCCAAGTTGTGTCAGGAAGGGCATCCAGTGTAAAATAATTGCCAAATCTTTCATGCGAGTTTGATCACTGTGGTAAACCAGTTTTTGATAGAGACCATTTTTTATGTTTAACTGCAGCCTCACACAAAAACTGAGTCGGTACCTGACATTTTAAATTATCATGCTCGCATGTACAGACAGAAGGCATTTTTAATTCCCCCTTATCGCTCCATGACGGGGGACAAACATCGCCCAGATCCTGCAAGTACCGATGGGTCTTTTCCACTGACTGCTTGATGGACCAGAAACTGACATCATTCCACTTGGAGATCTTGACAAAGTCCTGAAAATAACAATTTACATCACAACAACTCTCGTCAGTGCACAGAAAAGGAGTCAAGAGAAGAAGAGTTTGTGAAGTTAAGAGAAACTTTCTGTGTTCAAACCTTAAGTTCCTTCTCAACAGGCTGTCTGAGCTGAGTGATCTTGGCCTGAATGCTTTCGGAGAACTGGCTGTAGTATTCATGGAGATTCCAGAGGAGACTGGACAGAGATTCTGAAAAATAAAATACAATGTCAGTTTGCCTCACTAAGCAAAAACAAACAATACCCCCCACCCCCCAAAAAACAAACAAACAAACAAATAATAAAAAAAAAACACAAAGGTACCCAGTTCCACATATTGACTTGTGGCGTATGACTCTTGTGGGTCAAAAGTTATTTCCTTCATTAGCTGTGTATTTATTGATGAACATGGATGGTGAGATGATCAAAGTAATCATCTTATTATCTTGTGTTCAGATATAATTCTGAAATAGTTTTATTGAAACACTGAAAGTATCTGGGAGCGTGAGGGTTTTGTGCAGCATCTTAGCTGTTCCTAGGACTGAGTTCTCCTGAACTGAGGTTGTTACTGGGATCTGTGGGAACCACTTTAACAGCATGGGGGCCATGGTATTAAATGCTCCAATGACCAGTGGCACCACTGAGGTCTTGACTGGGGATCTGAACCGCTGATATTTAGCTGACAGCACTGCAGTACCACTGCACTGGTTTATCAGGCATGATGGATGTAGCAAGTGACTAAGATCAAAGCAGAAGGGACACAAAACAGGTCAAAAAAATAATAAAAAATGGACTTCTATTCTGAAGCTGAAGACATTTTGCTTCCCATTCAGGAGGATTTACCAGTTCAAATATGTCTGGAGTGTGCAAAGCTTTATAGAACTGCAAGAAAGACCTGGTTCTGTTCTGAGATTCAGATCCACATTAGAGTGGAACTACTCGTCCTGCACAATGGAGGCTCATTAGGCTCTTTGTCTTCTAGGCTCACAGAGAGACGATTTGGTCACCTGCATGAAGGTGTCAATTGGAGTGGAGCTGACCTGGAATCAGGCCTAATGATGCATTCGGGGTTTTTGAAAGTTAAAATCTTGAGACCTCCTCGTCTGTTTAAAGTTGTTTTTCCTCATTTGACGTCAATGTCTTCCTTCACCTCCTCTCAAATCATCTATCTTCTGTATAAAATATGAACATGTTGGTCCTCAGCAGAGTGTCCTAGAGGTGTAGGTGGACCGCTGAGTCTGGTCCTGAAGAGCTGCTCTCATGTGTTGAGCCATGTGTCTGAGAATGAGTTTCTCTGAACGTTCACTGACCTGCAGACACACCGCTCTGTTTGGAGGTTCTGTCCTTGAAATGGATCAAGAGCGCCAACTAGAAATTTTCAAAATACCCTCCGCATTAACCTTAGTTTGTTGTAGAAACATGAAATTTGGTACGCTTGTCCAATTCCCCAAGATGCACAGAAAACCCTCTGGCACCAACGTTGCACGATAAACAGGAAGGTGGCCATTTTGGAATGCTGGCCCAATGTTCACACCTTTTTGGCAGTTTACAGCCTCCGCATTTGAATGAACTCCTCCTAGGAATTTTGTTCAATCACTTTTAAACTTGGTCATTTTGGTCAAAATGCATGAGAGACGAAAAGTTATCAAAACGGTTTGTTTCGGAGCATGCTGAAGGGGCGGGGCCAGACTTCAAAGTTTGACATCTCGCCATGAAAAACTAAACGCTAATAGCTCCTACACAAAAACTGTCTGAGACATCAAACCTTCAGTGATTGACCCACATCTGGTCACCTGCAAGACTAAATGGTCAAATCATGACATAAATTAAGACACGCCCCCTGACAACAGGAAGTGTAAAGTTTTACGTTGAACGGTCCCTATCTGACCCCTGTCACCTGATCAGCATGATGGTGTGTCCAGTCACCGAAGACATGTTGGTGTAACTTGCTTTCCAATACTGACAGTTTTGGGTGGAGCATGTGGGCGGCGCAGCGTGGCGAAGTAAGACGTAACGCCGTTGCGATACGTTGGGCTCTAAATTCCACAGATTTGAGCAGAGGTGCACCAAAATCAGTATGATTGATCATTATCCACCCCTTGAACAGAAAGCCATGATAAATGGACAGTAGCCTCCACAGCGCCCCCTAGAATATTTTAAAAACTCAGCCCAAAGCCATTTTTGGACCGATAATTCTGAAACTCGGTGTGCATGTATATCTTATCATGATCTATGAAAAAGTCTCTTGGAGCCATGATCCAAACTCAACAGGAAGTCGGCCATTTGGGGTCAAAGAGTCATTTTTGGGTGTTTCTAATTGCAAATTTTAACGAACTCCTCCTAGGGATTTTGAAGGATTGCCTTCAAACTTGGTTGATATGACCTTAAGACATTGGAGAGTAAGTTATCTAAAGCTTGCGTTTTCGTTTATGTTAAAGGGGCGTGGCCAGGCCTCAAAGTTGCGCTTCACGCCATTAATTTCCAAAAGCTATAACTTTCACATTGAAAGACCAAAATGCACCAAACTTAGCATGAGTCATCCCTCTTGTACGCCCGGCGATCCTCTGTGGTCATATTCTGATGTCTTCAAAGCCACGTCCCCTCAGAACAGCAAGTCTCTTTTTTTACTTGGAATGCTCCCTCTTTGACACCCTTGACCTAATCAGGATGATCCTGTGTTATAATACATATAACAAGTTCATATGACTTGATTTAAATTACATTAAGTTTTAGCTGGAGGATGTGGGCGTGGCGAATTAAGAAGTGACAGTTGCAATACGTTTGGCTCTAAATTGCACAGATTTGAGCCGAGGTGCACCAAAATCACTATGATTGATCATTATCCACCCGTTGAACAGGTATCCATGATAAGTGGCCAATAGCCTCCACAGCGCCCCCTACATTATTCCTACAGTTATATCTCAGTAATACGTCATACGAGCTGAACCACATTTTAAGTGCGTGATCAGTTAGCACTTCGAAACACATTGGTATTGTTGTTAAACATTTCACTCAAGTTCACCCCTACATCATTCCAACAGTTATATCTCAGTGATACATCATCTGATGTAGACCAGACTTTTTGTGCTTCATCAGTGACCATTTCTAGATACCTTAATATTGTTGGTTCATGACTTGACTTAAGCCTGGCCCACTCAGAGAAGAAACTGATGATTATTGGGTGACTCTTCCAGCTTGGCACTGTGTAACATATAAGATTTAAACCGTATTTGCTAACTGTTGATTACCACATATGACATGTTGAAAAGCCTAAAGGAAGTCGTTTACACTCGCAACAAAACAGGAAGTGACAATAACTCCCGTCTGGAAGGTTGGATTTTATCCAAACTTGTAAGGCTTACAGCTGGACTCATACTGATATGGACGGAAGGTGATCGAAAGATTCGGCATATGCGCGCCCTGGTGGACGAGTGTGGGAATCGCATGAGAGCGTTTGCGATGGCGACTGGGAGGCATTGCTGAAGTGCCCACGGTCGCAGGTGATGTCGAAGGTTTGGCAAATGCGTAACCTGGTGAATGAGCAAGGGACGGGCACAAGAGCGTTCACGATGGCGACTGGGCGGAGTCGCTGGAGATCCCGCAGTCGCCGTAAGGCCGGAGCGGCACTTTGCTGCGAGGGCCTTCAATGCTCCTTGCAGCTTTAATTGTGTTTGTTCTCCTCTCTGTTCTGTTCTTCAGTGTTTTGTTTTTTTGCTTGTTTGACAAAAGCCCAGTTAGGATTTTCACCAGGTTTCGAGAGTTTCTTTGATGTGTTTCTGATGTTTTTCCTTCCCTTCTGTCCCTGTGGGGACATGTTAGGCCTGTGGTGTAAAGTTCTAACGACAGAAACGTGTGTTCCAGTGTGTGGTGAGCCCAACAGAAGGTTCTGATCTGATTTTCCTATAAACGTCAATGTTGGAGCTTCCATCTCTTTCCACGTTCACCAAACAGTCCAGAAAAGGCAGATGTTGTTGTTGACACCCTCTCTGGTAAACTTGATGTTGTCCGCAGAGTTGATGTGTCTGGTGAATGCATCTACTTCTTTAACATAGATTTTGAACAAGGCATCATCCACATATCTGAACCAGTGGCTCGGTGGTGTTCCCTTGAAAGGGTCCAGGACTCCTCCATTCCTCCGTGTAGAGACTGGTCACAGTCGGTGACACTGGACATCCCATGACAGAACCATGCTTCTGTCTGCAAAAGCTGTCATTGAACTTGAAATAAGTTGCGGATAGACAAAGGTCTTGCCAGGGTACAGATCTGGTCCAGGGTGAAACTGGTCCTGTCGCTAAGGATATAAACTTGTTGAAGATGTTTCCTGATGGTTTCGACTGCCTCTGATGTGGGTATACAGGTGAAAAGCGACATCAAAATACAAAAGAATCTCCTGGCACCATCTTCAAATTGTTTTAGCTTAACCTTTTTTTGGATTGATCATGGGCAGCACGGTGGCGCAACTGGTAGAGCTGCTGCCTCTCAGCGAACAGGTTCTTGGTTCAAACCCCGGTCCAGGGGCCTTTCTGGGTGGAGTTTGCATGTTCTCTCCGTGCATGTGTGGGTTTTCTCCGGGTACTCCGGTTTCCTCCCACAGACCAAAAACATGCACGTTAGGCTGATTGGTAACTCTAAATTGTCCCTAGGTGTGAGTGAGAGAGTGAATGGTTGTTTGTCTCGTTTCTCTCTATGTGTCCCTGTGATGGACTTGTGACCCGTCCAGGGTGTACCCCACCCCTCGCACAGTGATTGCTGGACATGGGCACCAGTGACCCCCGTGACCCAAAATGGAACAAGCGGGTAAAGATAATGGATGGATGGATGGATGGATGGATTGATCATGACCTGGACGACTGAGAACCTTCAGCAGCAAAAGCAGAAGGAACATGAGAAGCTCAAGAAATATCAAGGACTGAAAGAAATAGGTAAGTTGTGGAGAACCAAGCCCTCAGTAGAGCCAGTGGTCATTGTGAAGAAAATGGATTAATTGTAAGTAAAAAGCAAAACGTTATCAAAATGTTTTTGTTCAAGACTGGGGCTGTTTCTGTGTAAAACCAAATGCTTTAGCCAAAAAACAAATGTTTAGAACTGGAGTTTGACAGTTTAAATGTCCCCGTGATCCAAAATGGAGCCAACTCATCGAGATGTTTCCTTTCTGTTTTTAGATATGTTCCTGTTTTTAGTTTTCTACATTGCTTTACAGCCTAGCTGTTTTTGTTTCGTTTTTTTTCCCCAATACCATTTTCTTTCATTTATTCTTCTCAATTTATATGTTTTGTTTTTTGATTGTCCACTGTTGTCATAATGTTTTGTTAAAATCAAGTCTCTCTTGTAAATGAGTCCCTGAGGCTCACTGGGATTAACCTGTATAAATAAAGGTTGACTGAACAATCAATCTGACCCAGCAAACTTAAGGAAAACATGTTCACATGTCAACGTGGTTCTCTGTTCATGTGTACTGGTTACTTGTTGTGTAAGAGACGTTCGGCTGATGTCAGAAACAGGTTCAAGAGCCACCCTGTTGATTTGTTGTTCGTGACTCCAAATCTGTTGTGTTGCAATAGCAAAACTCCAATGAACTGTAATCTCCATTTAAATCTCAATCTGTTTCATCAGTTAAAGCAACTGAGGCTGTGACCCCCCAAACTGGAAGAACGGCTCTGAGAGATCCCAGGAACAACTTCAGAGATCTTGGTCCAGAAGAGCGCAGTAAGGAACAGAAAGGACCTTAAAGTACCCGGGTCTCTGATAGGGGACTCAAGTTTGAAGAGAAGTGGAACCACCCAAGTGATAAAAGGGACAGACTCAAACCTTTTATAAATATTAACCTTTATAAAGTTGTATAATTTATATATTAAACCAACTAGACTTTATGTAACATAAACTCATTTGATAATTAAAGACAAAAAACTGCAAACTTCAATTTAGCCATTTGGCAGTGGACATATATGGGTGGCTGTGGCTGAGTGGTTAGAGCAGTCGTCCTCCAATGCAAAAGTTGGGGGTTCGATTCCACCAACTGTCACATGCTGTAGTGTCCCTGAGCAAGACAATGAACCCCTCATTGCCCCCCTCAAGGTGCTATATAATACCATTTACATACTGGGTTACAGTTTGTAATTAAGACCCAAGTGACAGGAGAGAGTGATGATTACTGACCTCGTCCAGGTTGGTTGGGGGCCAGCAGGAGGTGACAGTGGAAGCTGAGCAGCATTCTCAGGCGGGTGCTGAACTCTCCCACAGTAGAGCCCTCCATGAAGGCTTGGAGAGTAGAGGACACTGAAGACAGAGAGAGACGCACATTCTCACCTGGAGACGTGAACGATGGGGGAAAAGAAAAAAGAAGGTTTACAATATGGGAGATCAACTCGATTAACTTGATTCTGGGTCACCAGATAAACCAGTCAGCTTAGGTTTGGAAAGATTCGGTACCTGTATTTGCCTCCTCCCTCGCTTCTTCTAGATACTTCTCTAGCAACTGGTAGATGGAGAACCAGTGTTTGGTTGATCTCTCAGTGTGTCGCTTCATTGTGTTGTCCAGACTGTTGGACCAGCAACTACAAAAAAGACAGCAGCAGTGTTCACATGCTTAATTAGCAGAACAGGAGTCTTCATCACAACAGGAGTCTTCATCACAACAGGAGTCTTCATCACAAGCCTATCCAACATCCTCATCAAAATGAGAACAGCTCACAGGCAGTTTACTAAAATCTAACAAGTATACACTGATGTCCACCGTCACTGAGGGATTTGTAGTTTTTGAGAGTAATGTTTTTTTTCTGGACTGGGACTGAACAGGGAATGAAAGTAAACCTTCATGTTTTTGGTGCAAGATGTTCATGTTCATGTGAGTAGGAGATACACTGTAGAAGAACAGAAGGAGGTTTCTTTTTTCTGCTTGATTGTGGTAGAACAGTGACAGATCCTGGTGAGTGGAGGCAACCAGGCACAATGACGGAGTCAAGGGGTGGCCAATGGTGGCCTTGGCCACTTTAGATTAATTTTTGACCACCCCAAGGGTCACCCCAATCATTTGAGGAAACTTTAAGTAATAACTAGAAAGCGATGCACACACTGATACCCCACCCCCGGACAAGGACATCATGAAAGATATGAGCGCACTGCCAAGGCAAGTAAACTAGGGGAAACATTGTATATAAGTCGGTGGCCATCTTAGATTTTGACATGGCACCCCAAGTTTTGAGAGTGACCTTTCTTCTTAAGTCAGCACATTGGATTATTTTTGACACAATCATTTGAGGAAACTATATGTTTAAGCAACATAAAAACTAAACAGAACAGTTTCCTCAAATAATCAGGGTGGCCGATTTAAATATATATGGTGGCAGCCATCTTGGATTTTGACGTGGCAACCCTATTTTCAATAGTGACCTTTCTCATGTCTAGATACACCTACACATTGAAATGGAAGTTGATACCTCGCCTTTTTTTAAGTTATCATGCTCACTACACGGATGAAGAGTACTTCCAATTCCCCCTCTTTGCTCCATGCTGGGGAGGCAAAAAAACCCCAAATGAACAGAATCCCACTTTGTCTTACTTCAGCTCCAGTTTGCGCCACTGGATAATTGTCTGTGTGACTGGTTCCAGTTCTTTCCGTAGAGAAACTGATCGGCTGGCGTTATTCTCCCAGTCCTGTGAAAACACAGCAACATACACCTAAAGTAAAAACCTTTTCCTTATAAGTATTTTAACAAACAAAAAAAGCCCAATTTACTTTAGAGTTAAATGTATAAACACTATCCAAAGCTGTGATCATGATGATTCACCAGTATACTGTTCAGTGCCCTGAGACGACTTCTGTTGTGACTTAGCGCTCTATAAATAAACTGCATTGAATTGAACTACTGACGAAGCTTACCTGTGCTTTACTGAGCAGGATCTCCAAACCATTCAGAAACTTTGCAAGTGGACTGTCCAGACTAAAAGCCAGGATCCTCTCGATGACTTTAGTCAGCTGAAAACCACCCACACACACACACACACACACACACATACGGAAACACAAATACAGATATATTAATAGATAGAGAAAAAGAGAATTTCAAATAAAAAAACTAATCTTTCAAACTCATTTCCTGAGAGATGCTGTTTTTATACATGCTCTGAGCAAGTCGAACCATAAACAGTCTTTATATTCTGTCTGGAAATTATAGTCTTTATGTTAACTGGCTTTTAATTATTCATGATGTTGGGAAGTGTGACTTTGACAGCTGCAGAAAGTTTTAAATGATAAATGCTTCACACCATTTCAACATCTCCAGGTTCTGTGAAGTGCAACATTTCTCACTCACTCATTCAGACACACACTCAGTGTTTTCTATTCTACACATACAGTCGTCCCTCACTATATCAACATTCACTTCTTGTGGCTTCACCGTATCACTGGTTTTTAAAACAGTGATACAGGGCCGGTCCATAATAATGTGCTTAATGTGCGGGCCGGGTCTGTGTCAGGCTTTTGATTGTGTCAGCAGACACACTGGGCTGACGATCTAATTATATGGCAACATGACTTGCCACACAATCACCAGCCACATGCAGCCATTTGACCGAGCGCTGGTTGAAAGAGGTTAAAAAAAAAGAAAGTTCAGTTAAGCTTCAGATGGACTACTGCCAGCGATCAATCGCCCAAATGGACATTCATTCAGCCGCTGCACTCGGCAGACGCTCACAGCCCACAACCCAAACAAGTGAGAGCACTAAATATCCGACATGTCAGAGCAGGGTCCATGTCTGAATAATGCAGAATGTAGACAGAAGCAGGGATTTAACGCACTTTGACGGCCATGAAAGGACAAACGCCCCTTCAGTTTTGATCTTCTGTCCCCTTTACTCAGCCATGCGTGTCCGCCGACCGTTAATAACTATATCAGCAGTCAAAGCTTAATTAAAAATGTCTGGGGGCTTTGGGTTTGGACCTGTAATTACTGTTAATTCGTCAAACTGGGTGGGGTTCAGAAATGATGGCTACGGGCCGGGTGTTAGGCCGGGTCTGATTTTTTGGACCCAAATGCAACTCTATGCCGACTCCCACCAGTCTTTTCAAAATAAAACTTACCGAACATGCTCCATGTCTGGTTTAACTTTCGAGTCCTCCGCTAAAGCTATTACAGAGAAAAGTTTAATAAGAGAGTAGGAACAGTTCGTAGGAGTGAGAGAAGGGTTTATAAAGCCTTAAAATATATACCAGTAAACAATAAAATAAATACTTTGCGGATTTTCAACTACGTAACCTCCATGATAGGTGAGGGATCACTGTGGTTATTTTATATCTCATACACCAATAAGCATATCAGGGGCAACGGGTGGTTTAGTGTCTTGTCTGAAGACACTTCAGCATGATGCAGGGGAAGGAAGTTGAACCTCCGACCCTCTGATTGGAAGAGGACCACTCTCCCCACTGCCTGCACTGCTGGTTTTACTGTATGTTAATACAGTAAAGTACCAGACAAAAAACATATTTCAATCAAATGCTCAAGACACCAGATGATATGAACAAAAGTTCTGTAAACACAGATGATCTGGTCCAATTTTTAAAATCCCTATGAGGTAAACATTTGAGGAACATGATTGCACTGACTCAAACACAGAGCACCACCATCCCTTGGTGCTGACTCGGAGGTTACAGACCTGTATGAGGGCAGGGTGTTCAGGCCAGTCCTCCAGTCTCTGCACCACTGCCTCACTCAGCTGTTCCAGAACCGGCAAACAGAGTCTGGCCTCAGACATGTTGGGCTGCTGATAGAAGTCGTACGGTCCTTCAGAAGTGACCACCAGCTCTTCAGCTCCTCTTGAGCCTTGCACAATGTTCTGCAGGACAGCAGAAAGCAGCAGACCGCTGCCTGCCAGCTGCTGGTCCAACGCAGAATCTAGGCAGGAAATGGAATGATTGGAACCAGACACAGATTTATAGATCAGTGACATCAAAGGTACTAACCAATCAGATGATAGAAGTGAGACATCACAGGGGATAAAATCTGATAAGATGACATCAGGGCTTGAAGGTGTTCTTGAATTTGAACTGCTGGTGCTGTGCTCTGGTACCACAGTGACCGGGCGTACCCCAGGCATATGCGCTGGTGAACCTGGACCAGTGTGTTTATGGCAGACTGAGACACAGAGCCCACCACAGAGGCCTCCTGTGGGGCTCTGTCCTCGGGTTTTAGTTGGGCGTCTGCAGGACCTTCCAAACTATTTTGGGACAGGATATCTGCAAAGTCCTGAATAAAACAGTACAAGTTATAAATCTGGAAATATTTTCCCATTAAAAAACAACGAGTACAGCAAACAGCACATTATACGCCCATCAACAAGTTATCATACAGCAATAAAATACAGCAATGGCCCCAACAAGCTGCTGAAAACATTTGACCTTGATTTATCACCTTGACCTTAGAGCTGGGGCAAAAAAAAAAAAAAGATTGATACACTACATATAGTGGTGGTACAAGTGTGTATCAAGTTTCATTAAATTATCTTGAGCTGATAAGTTATGGGCTGGACAAGCAAAGATCTTACATAATATTTGACCTTGACTTGTGGCCTTAAACTTGGAGCTGGGGGTGATGAATAATGTACGTGACACTGCTACGCTCCGTTGTGACTTGGTGTTACAGAAATAAACTGAATCCAATCACACTTTTTTCTTCTTCTTTCAGCTGCTCCTTCCTCTGGGGTCACCACAGTGACTTACACACTAACTCACACTAACTCACTCGAAGACTTGGTGATTGTTTTTACGCCGGATGCTCTTCCTGACGCAACCACAGACCACTGAGCTACCACACCCCTCTGTGTGGAGCAGAGAGCTAAAAAAGGGCCTAGAGTGGGGCAAATGAAGGTGGAGGCAGGTGTGGGTGTTTCACCTTTCCCACCAAACAGTTTGATGTTGTCAGTCCAGGGAGTTGAACCGGCGACCTTTCGATCACAGGCTCACCTTCTCTAACCTCTGCACCACCACACCCCACAATAAACACATCTCATATGAGGTACAATAAAAAGAAGAGATTTTTTTAATCATCGGGCGTTTCGGGGGCACCACTGATAAAAGAGCCATACGCACCGTGCTGAACTGAGGGAACTGGAGCCTGAAGTCCTTCTCCTCCTGCTCGTCCTCTGTCAGTCCAGAGCCGTGCGTTTGGCTGCGGTTAAGAAACAAACTGGCTTCCAGCTGCTCCTTTTCTCTCTTCTGCCTCTCTTGTTCATCCCACTCGTTTACCAGAGCCTGAGGAGAGTCACAACGGTCAGCACGTAATTTAGAAAGAAACGCAGCGTAAACGCCGAATGTTGAACAACTGCTGAAATGTGATGAAGAAGCTAAAGAAGCTAAAGCTACCTTGTTAAAAATAAAAAGAACAGAACATTAATGCAAAAAAAGCAAAACATCAGCTAATAATTAAAATGATCAAATGGCTAGATAAAAACTAAAGCCAAATCTTAAAGCCAAAAATACAACAGCAGCTAAAAGTAGAAAAACACTAGATTAATGCTAAAAACACTAAATGCTAGCTAATAAGTAAAAAGAGCAAAACACTACCAAAACACTTACTTTAAAAAAGTAACAAAACACTAGCTAAAAAGTAAAAGTAGCAAATGGATAACTAAAAGCTTAAAATATCAAAAAGCTAGACAATAGCTAAAAGTAGAAAAACAATATGTTAAAGCCAAAAAATAAAACCGTAGCCAAAAGTAGTGAAACACTAGCTTAATGCAAAAAAATAAAAAATAAAAATCTTAATGCTAACTAAAAATTAAAAGTAGTAAAACACTGGCTAAAGGGTAAACATAGCAAAGGGCTATTTAAAAGTTTGAAATGGCAAAATAAGAGTTAAAGTGAGTGGCAGAGCAGTGGCTTAAGGCTAAATGAGCTGACTCTTCAGATAAATAGCTAAAATAGCAGTAAGTGTGCAAAGAAAGTCTCAGAACTCTGACCTGACAGATGTGTCTGAAGAGGCTGCATGTCTCAGGACCAAACTCTCCAACTGACAGGGCGTGGCACTGAACATACAGCAGTCCATTTACTAACAGAGCGGAGGACTGAGGGAGGATGAGGTCAGGGCTCTGATGAGGTAGGAGCTCCACGAGTCTGTGCAGAACATAAATACAAGCCCTGGAGCACAAAAAGTCCGCTCGAGCGAGATAGGAGGGAAGGCTGGGGGACACCGAGGGGTACGACAGTAGGCAGGACACCAGCTTGGACAGATCTGGTAGAGGTGTCAGAGAGGTAGCCACCTGAGAGGCCACAAGCCTCATGCCATGCCGCAGCTGGAGGATGCCAGTTCTGATTGGGTCCACCACATCAGGATACAATGAGTAGTCCTCCATTAGTTTTTGGCAGAAGCGCTGCTGGGAGTTCTGCCACACAGCCTCCTCTTTCAGGAGGGCCTGGACTGCTGACTTGGATTTGGAAGATTGGGGAAAGCCCTGCAGGACCTTGAGCAGGTGGGACAGCAGCTCCTGGATCGCTGCCTTCTGTCCAACACTGCAGAGGTAATGCTGGAGATCCTGAAAGAGTCGGCCATATTGTGGTGCCTGTGGACGATAGGCCTGTTTCCTGGAGAGCTCGTCTATCTGCTCCTTCATCAGCTGCATTCGGACCCACAGGTACCTACAAACACACACACACACGCACACAGTATCAACTGGCTGGTCACAGATATATTGACTAAGGTTGTTTTTACACCTGATAGTCCAGTAGACTCGGTTCGGTTGAGGATCAATATTCATAACATTTTGTTATGAGCTGTAGCTTAAAAATAGCCATTTTGTGGGATATGCTGTACTGCAGGACATAATGTGTTGTGGATGATTTTCAGCTACTACCACAATTTGATACACAGTTTCCACTCAGCTGACAGGACACGCGAGTATACTGGAGCCTTTAGAAACCAGGCTGGACCATGTCAGACCAGGCTGGGCCTTACAATACAGAAGGGCTAAAAGAAAGAACGCTCTTTCAGGGGGTAAAAAATCTGTTCTGTATTCCAGGGCTCCCAAACCACTGGATCAAATAGTGGTACCAGTCCATGAATCATTTAAAAATAAGCAACACAGAAATAGTGACTTTTCTTAAAAAGATTTAAAAAAATCCATTAAAAAAATATTTTGAATGCATTGATTTGTAGCACATTTTGTTAAAAAAAAGACAATATGCGTTTGTACTTCTTTCCTGCACTTGTTGCAGCTGTGTTTCATCCACAGGTGCATCTAAAAATATTGTTAATAAGTAAAAAAAGAAAAATTGCCAATCATTTCAGAAAGTGAAACTCATATCTTACATAGGGGAGTGGTGGCACAGAGGTTAGAGAAGGTGAGCCTGTGATCGGAAGGTCGCTGGATCGATCCCCTGAACTGACAACATCAAAATGTGGGTGAGAGAGGTGAAGCACCCACACCTGCCTCCACCTTCATTTGCCCCACTCTGGGCCCTTGAGCAAAACCCTTATCCTCCACCATCTGCTCCCCAAGGAACCCTAGATGGCAGCTCTCTGTTCCACAGAGGGTTGTGGTAGCTCGGTAGTTGTATCAGGAAGGGGATCCAGTGTGAAAAACAAAACAATTACCAAGTCTTTGTGTGAGTTAGCTCACTGTGGCGACCCTGAAGAAGCGAACAGATGAAAAAAATTATATATACTGTACTGTAGTCCCTCGTTTATCACGAGGGATCTGTACCCTGAAGCCCCACGATAAGTGAAAAAACGCGAAGTAGGGATAGTAGTAAGTAGTAGTACCTGCATGCACTCTCAGCCACGCCCACTTCCCCGCGCTGCACAGAGAACAGCTGTTCAGCTGCAGCAGGAAGCTTATCCTGCAGTATGGGCTGCACAAATGTGTAGCAGGTGCTAAATAATTTTAAATAATTTATTTTAAACAAAATATCCATGCCGATTGTGCGGATCATCCATCACTCAGCCAGTTGTGTGTCATGTACAATCGTATTTTGAAAAACTGCAATAAAGTGAGTCTGCGAAAAACGAACCGCGAAGTAGCAAAGGACTACTGTACTGAAAAACCAAACTTCAGTGTCTCAGAAAATTTGAATATTGTGAAGAAGTTGAATTTTGTAAACTCCTGATGTCTCACCCTGATCAGTTGATTAAGTCTTAAACATGAGCTAGAAATGTCTCATTCCTCAAGTCCAGCCACTCTTGAACCAGAGACGAACCAGAGACAACTTCAGAAGTGTCTTACCTGCAGAGTTCAAAAAGAACTGGACTGTCTGTCAGTGGTCCAATGTCCTCTTTTCAGATGAAAGTAAATTTTCACGTCATTTAGAAATCAAAATCCCAGAGTCTGGAGGAAGAGTGAAGAGGTCCAGAATCCATGTTGTTGAAGTCTAAAGTGAAGTTTCCACAGTCAGTGATGGTTTGGGTCCATGACCTCTGCTGGTGTTGGTCCACTGCGTTTTCTGAAGTCCTCAGTCAATGCACCTCTACCAGAACATTTTAGAGACATCATGCTTCCTTCTGCTGACAAGCTTTATGGAGAAGCTGGTTTAATTTTCCAGCAGGACTTGGATCTTGCCCACACTGCCAAAAGTACCAAAAGCTGGCTGTAGAATATTCTCATTTTCTGAGACACTATTTTTTTTTTCCATTATTTGCAAACCATAATCGTCAAAATTACAAGAAATAAAGAAATATTTCACTCTATGTAATGAATCTATGTAATCTTTGAGTTTGACTTTTTAAAATTATTTGACAACAAAAATGAACTTTTTCATAATCTTCAAATTTTTTAGATGCACCTGTCCTAGCTAACCCTATCAAAACACAGACCAAAAACTGTACAGCTGAACCAATAGAACCACAAACCACACCATTCTCTTCAGCATGTGTGCACTCCCTGTAGCCCAGTAATGGCAGATATCAGTAGATAAAACCAGAACAGAGTAAAATCTGGTGCTGACCTGATCCGAGGATGCTGGAAACGATCAGTGGTACTTCCTTTCTCCAGCTCTGCTCCAGTCGTCAGCTGACAGGATAAGTTGCGTGCTCTCCACTCCTCCTTCAGCAGAGCCAGCTGTAACAAACCAAAAAGGAATTTTTAAGAAACAAGTACCCGCTCATCTCTTTCCCAATAACATCCTGACACAATTGTAATAATGATCATGAATCTATTGGCTAAAGCAGCACAGATGCACCAGCTGCTAATGGAAGGGTCCTACGCAGAATGGTTGACCCAAGGCCGGACAGTCCTGATCAGCCAATCACTTGCCTAGTTACAACATGGAAGCTCCTATTAAGAATTATAGTGGCTAAGATGAATAGGCAGATAAGTCAACATCTAAACGAGGCACAAAAGGAAGCTGGCACCAGGGGAGCCAGAACCATAGCTCGAGACTGTAAGACCAGACACACAAACCTGAGCACTGCCTGGATTGTCTACAGGAAAGCCTATGACTCAATGTCACACACATGGATATTGGAGCGCTTGAAAATATACATGAACAGGACAATAAATGCCTTTATCAAGAAATCAATGGGAATGTGGAAAACAACTCTAGAAGCCAATTCAAAGCCAAATGCACAAGTCAGCATCAAATGGGCATATGTCAAGATGATGCATGGTCCCCGCTCATGTTCTTTATAGGCCTGAACCCCCTTAGCCAGATCATTGCAAAGAGTAGCTATGGATACCGGTTCCAAAGCAGAACAATCATCAGTCATCTCTTCTATATGGATGTAATCAAGCTGTATGACAAAAATGAGCGAGACATCGACTCACTAATCCACTTCACCAGGATATACAGTAAGAACATTGTATTTTCATTCGGACTGGATAAATGCAGTCAAGTAGTATGCAAGAGGGGCAATGTGATGACAACAGAAGGAGTTGAACTACCTGAAGGCAGCATTGTGTATGTTCTGGACAGCTAAAATGATCTTGGAATCCCACAGGCAAATGGCAATCATAATGAGGCCGCAAGAAAGTCAGCCACATACAAGTACCTACAGAGAGTAAGGCAGGTCCTGAAGAGCCAGATGAACCGCTAGAACAAAATCCGAGCCATCAACACATATGATGTGCCAGTCATCAAATATCCAGCTGATATAATAGCCTGGCCAATAGAGGAGAGAGAAGCCACAATGCATGGAGGGTTTCGCCCGAAGTCCAGCACGCTGAGACTATACACTAAAATAAAGGAGGGGGGCAGAGGACTAGTGAGCGTCTGAGCCACTATACAAGATGAAACAACTAAGATTCTGGAGTACATCAGGAGGAAAGCCCCCAACGACAAACTGATGAGTGAATATCTTGGGCAGTGGCAGAAACCCAATGTGGAAGAGGAACAAGATGAACCATCATGGAAAGATAAGCCCCTGCATGGCATGTACCATTGAAAGATTGGGGAAGTGGCTGATAAAAAAAATCCTATCAGTGGTCGGGGAAACACTGATATACAGGTCCTTCTCAAAAAATTAGCATATTGTGATAAAGGTCATTATTTTCCATAATGTAATGATAAAAATGAAACTTTCATATATTTCAGATTCATTGCACATCAACTGAAATATTTCCGGTCTTTAATTGTTTTAATACTGATGATTATGGCATACAGCTCATGAAAACCCAAAATGCATGTCCCAAAAAATTAGCATATTTCATCCCACCAATGAAAGACAAGTGTTTTTAATACAAAAAACGCCAACCTTCAAATAATCATGTTCAGTTATGCACTCAATACTTGGTCAGGAATCCTTTTGCATGAATGACTGCTTCAATGCAGCGTGGCATGGAGGCAATCAGCCTGTGGCACTGCTGAGGTGTTATGGAGGCCCAGGATGCTTCGATAGCGGCCTTAAGCTCATCCAGAGTGTTGGGTCTTGTGTCTCTCAACTTTCTCTTCACAATATCCCACAGGTTCTCTATGGGGTTCAGGTCAGGAGAGTTGGCAGGCCAATTGAGCACAGTAATACCATGGTCAGTAAACCATTTACCAGTGGTTTTGGCACTGTGAGCAGGTGCCAGGTCGTGCTGAAAAATGAAATCTTCATCTCCATAAAGCTTTTCAGCAGATGGAAGCATGAAGTGCTCCAAAATCTCCTGATAGCTGCATTGACCCTGCGCTTGATAAAACACAGTGGACCAACACCAGCAGATGAAATGACCCCTCAGTGACTGTGGAAACTTGACACTGGACCTCAAGCAATGTGAATTCTGTGTCTCCGCTCTTCCTCCAGACTCTGGGACCTTGATTTCCAAAGGAAATGCAACATTTACTGTAATCAGAGAACATAACTTTGGACCACTCAGCAGCAGTCCCAGGCGAGATGCTTCTGACGCAGTCTCTTGTTCAAAAGTGGCTTGACCTGGGGAATGCGGCACCTGTAGCCCATTTCCTGCACACGCCTGTGCACGGTGGCTCTGGATGTTTCTACTCCAGACTCAGTCCACTGCTTCCGCAGGTCCCCCAAGGTCTGGAATCAGCCCTTCTCCACAATCCTCCTCAGGGTCCAGTCACCTCTTCTCGTTGTGCAGCGTTTTCTGCCACACTTTTCCCTTCCCACAGACTTCCCACTGACGTGCCTTGATAAAGCACTCTGGGAACAGCCTGTTCGTTCAGCAATTTCTTTCTGTGTTTTACCCTCTTACTTGAGGGTGTCAATGATGGCCTTCTGGACAACAGTCAGGTCGGCAGTCTTACTCATGATTGCGGTTTTGAGTAATGAACAAGGCTGGGAGTTTTTAAAAGCCTTAGGAATCTTTTGCATGTGTTTAGAGTTACGTCATTGATTCAGATGGTTAGGTTAATAGCTTGTTTAGAGAACCTTTTCATGATATGCTAATTTTTTGAGACAGGCATTTTGGGTTTTCATGAGCTGTATGCCATAATCATCAGTATTAAAACAATTAAAGACCTGAAATATTTCAGTTGGTGTGCAATGAATCTGAAATATATGAACGTTTCATTTTTATCATTACATTATGGAAAATAATGACCTTTATCACAATATGCTAATTTTTTGAGAAGGACCTGTATATACTTATATGTAATGTAAAAGTTAAACATATATTTAATCTTAACCTTTTTGTACTTTTATTAATTTATGTTTCAGTAGGTAGGTGTTGGGATGATGGATGTTTGTTATTTTTTATGGGAAATGTTAAAATATTTCAGCAAAAAAGTGTATTAAAAAACAGAACAAAGCCTAATTACCGGTACAGTCTATCATTCCTGAAAAGTATGCACATTGCCCACTGCTTTTCAGGTCCGAGTTTTAAACTAAGATCCTTTCATCATGAGAAGGGTTGAAGTTCTGCACAATTTTACAAAACAATCAGTTAGCAATCAGAGTATGTGCTGTCAGGTTGACTCCAGAAGTTCATCAGTTAGAGATGCAAATCTAAATTATTTCATTAGTTTCATTAAATCTGTATAGTAGTTCATGAAATATTTTGCTAACAGACAAATACACAGACACAGGAAAAAATAGTTGATTATTAAAAACAGAACTAAAATTAAGAGCAGATTAGATTATTTTTACATTTCTGCATAAAATATCTAAAAATATGAGTTTAATGCTAATAATGTAAAATTATTAAATCACACAGAAAGTTGGAATATGATTAAACTTGTATAATTGCATGATATAAATTGAACTGAATTAATTACATGAAGTTAATTAGTCATTTAAACAATTTACCACAAAATCCTAAAGACTGCTTTTGAGGTTTCACATTTTTATTCTGACCAATAAAATGACATGTTTGCCAGAAAACTGACCTCCTGCTGAGCATAGTTGAGTTTGTATGCTCTCTTCACAGCTGGGTCAAAGATGGTTTGAGGGGTCCACAGCTGGATCTGTACCAAGCCCATGTTGACCCAGAAGAGTCCAGAACCAGCCAGCGACTTGGAGTCTTGACCTTTGCCTTGGATGTATTGCTGCAGACAGGTACCGAGAGCCTCCACTACACCGTCAGGCAGCAGACCTGGAGCTGGAAGGTCTCTGAGAACCATCTGGATCTTCTGTGCAGCACCGACAGGGTTTGTGTCCTCCAGCAGGCTCCTGCAGTTCTTCAGGTAGCTCTCCTGAAGGCTTACAGGTAGCAGGCTGCTCAGGCTCTGAAGCTGCTGAACCAGAACTGCTCCCTGGAGCCTCAAGTCTGAAACCCTGAGAAAACACAAGACTCAGAAAAGTGTGGTGAGGAGCTCAACTTTTGAGATGTCTTGTTGCAATCAAATTAAAAATCACCTTTTTTATCTTACAAATGGTACAATTTTGTAGTTTAAGCATTTGATATGTTGACTATTCTCCACTGGAAATTAAACTTTGGTATATTTATCCATAAAACCTGATGAATCCAAGCAGTTAATTACAATATAAGCAAGTCTTAAAGACATAAAAACCTGGATGATGCTTTAATTTTCTGCTTTTAAACTCAGAGAGGACAGAGGTTGTGGTTTTTGGACCTGAGCATCTTAGGAATAAACTTTGCAGCCTTTCATTTCCTCTGGATTACATTTATTTACCTAATGTAAAGAGCTCAGTGTTATTTTTCATCAGGATGTGTTATTTAATCTCTACATTAAAAATATTTCCAGGAATGCTTTCTTTCACCTAAACAACATCACTAAAGTTAAAAACTTCATATCCCAAAGCGATGTAGAAAAACTGGTCTATGCTTTTATCACGTTTGGACCGGATCATTGTCATTCTTCATTATGTCGTTTTGTTTTTGGTGCAAGATGTTCAAGTAGTTAGCAGTTACACTGTGTATAAGAAGAGAGGTCATTTTTATTATTTGTCTGAGGCAGCGCACTGATGGATCCTGGCAACTTTAAGTCATTTATATTTAAGGCGGTGGCCATTTTGGATTTTGACATGGCAACCCAATTTTCAATAGTAATCTTATAGATGCAGCAAAAACACCAAATGGAAGTCAGCGCCTCACTCGTGCTCACAAAATGATCAGACCGATGAAACGTGTTTCCGATTCCCCTCTTGGTTTTGCGACAGTTCCCTCCTTCAGGTTTAGTCTGGAAACAATATTTATCTTTAACTCCTCGACATTTTGATTTTAATCTCTAAACTTGGAAAACTAATCTTCTTCAACTGTGTTCCTCTGGAGTGTTCAGTGCAGGGTTTTCTCTACAATGTGAAAAACATAGCACACATTTGTTTTAACTCATTTGTACTAAATATTAATTGGAGGGTGTGCACACTCATGCAGTCAACACAATGTATAGTAAAGGTGGAAGAGTTATTAAATTAATCGTTTCATTTCCTTACATTAGAAAACACTGGGACTTTAACTTTTTATATCCACAACAGGTCAAGAATGTTTTATATTTTACTTTACCTAAATTCAGCCCAAGCAGGGATGGCCATGTTTTCCCACAACACCTCAGAAACATCCTGCAGCTGCTGGATCCTCTCCTTCCACTCCCCAAGACTCCCATGGGACAAGGAGCTGAGACCTGCACCACTGGGTTCCCAGCCACCAGTTACACTGCTACTCAGAACTCCCAGCATGCAATGGGACCACACCGCTTTGCTCAACAAGGCTGGACCCTGAAACCACAGATACAAAAACAGACATGAAAATCAATCTGTTTGTTAGTCAGTGCTGGTGAAAGTACTGACAGGTGTTACCAAGTTAGCTGCTCCCGAGTGCTGCTTTGGATCTGGCTGGTTCTCTGGACTCACAGGGTCCCATCGGAGCCAGCGGTCAGGATGTGAGGTGACGCTGCAGGTCCAAAGGGTAGTCAGGGTCTCTGACAGCAGCTCACACCACACCAGAGACAACTCTTCAACCAGCTGAAACAAAGAACAACAAAAAACATCGGCTGGTTTGTTTTCAGACTAATAGATGAACTTAACGTTATGAATAAAATCTAATTAGTGAGTGATGCCTTCCAGTGTGACCAGTCAGAAGCTCTAATACCATTACACCAGCCCATGAGTGATTGGAGGCAGGAGGGGCGTGGACCCTCATCATATACCGTAATTTATCAAAACTGGCCACATGCACAGAGCAATATTCAAGTCTGCCAGTGGATCCTGACAGAGGAGCAGGGTCAAAAAATACTCTGCAAGACGAAGATAGCGATCAATGACTTCCCGGTAGGCTACTGTATTTTATTTTATTTTTTAACCAGCCGTGTTACCGGCACTGTTCAGAAAAAAACATTTACGGTACGTATTTAAAGATTAAAAATATCTTTTTGTGTAAATATCTCATGTTACAACGTGAACATCCGTGACTTATAGACGACTGTAGACGACCTATTTTTGTACAAAATTATTATTATTTTTTAATTTAGTGGGCGCGGCTTATATTCAGGTGCGCTCAATAGTCCGGAAATTACAGTATATAAGGCTGTCTTTCAGAATGCTGAGATAAAGGCTGTCCTTGGGGGAGTGGTGGCGCAGAGGTTAGAAGATGGGCTTGTGATTGGAAAGTCGCAGGTTCACCTCCCGGTACCGTCAACATCAAAATGTGGGTGGAATAGGTGGCACACCCACATCTGCCTCCACCCTCATTCGCCCCACTCTGGGCCCCTGAGCAAGGCACTCAACCCCCACCATCTGCTCCTAAACAGGTCTCTCTTGAAAATGAGTTCTCGTGACTCAATGAGACTACCTGGATAAATAAAGGGTAAATGAAAATAAAAAGAAAGGGTGTCCTATGTGTGGCTTTGCCCAGGACATAAATAACTGGTTGCTGTTTCTGAAACACTGTCCATTAGACCTGTTGCGATAAACAATAAATCAGTTAATCGCATGATGAATGAAAATGATCCACCTCATTTTTTTATTTATCGGCTTTATCGTTTCTTCGTGTCTTTCTCTTTCTGCTGAAGACACTGATGACAAAAGGCTCAACTCTGGTGCTCTTCACTGACTCCTCCCTTTCTCTTTAAAATCAATTTTAACTGTCCAAAATCATGTTTTTGGGTCGTTAAAAGCAGCTAAGCTGAGAAGCTAAGCTACGAGCTAAGATAACAGGCCGACCGCAAGAATAAACCTCTGTCTTGTCGAGCTCCAAAATTCACAGTTGAAACCCGTGCCTTTGTTTAAAAAGTTGTTTTTCTCTGCAAAAAGAAGCTGAGAACTTGTTTACCGATTTTTTAATTAAAAGCTTTGTGTGAAAAATGCTACGCTAAAGAGCTCAAATCACTAAGAGTCCGCCATGCCACCATGTCAGCCCACGTAAAGTCAAGGGTCCTCCCTCCCATTTTTCTTGCAGCTCAACTATCCATCCTTTGGGTCAAACAGTCTTACACGGCCACCAGGTGGTCAAAAAAGGTACTACACTCCAAACAAATCAACATTTCTTTTAAAATTTGACAATTAATAATTGTTAAATTTCAAACAATATTATCGTTTATCGCAATAACTTCTGAGACAATTAATCACCCAGCACAATTTGTTATCGTGACAGGCCTACTGTTCACATAAATTTAGACAGCATGAACTGGATGCAAAGTATTTAAACACCTGTGCTAACTGAGGGGATATAACTTACAGCAAAATACATTTATCTGTACACAATACCATTAAATTGTGTGTGGTAGAAAAAATGTTCAAACTTAAAGCTGTGCAGAAAATATGGTCAGGAATGTGTAAATTTGTTGAGAATGTCCTGATGTTTGTTCAAGATGAAGTTTTATCAGTTCAGTCCTGCTCAGAGACGTCAGATCTAGTAACCGTAGAGTCAGATGGCAGCAGGGAGGAAAGATTTCTCATAACAGTGTCAGCTTTCTAAAGCTTATTGTGGAGCATCAGGAATGATACCAGGCAGTCTCGTGCACATCTTTATGCACATGACCAAAACATTTCTTTCTTATGAAATAAAAAAGCTCCTTAGATGAAATGTCTTCAACTAGAGGAACTAAATTCAGTTGCCTTATTTTGACACTTTTTGCAGCAGAAGCAGATGATTCCAACAGAAGTAGTGGCCTCACTAAAAACTCCAACCTGCCGTCTTCAGATTAGGGGGACACTGGTTGAACTGGTACAAGTTAAATAACTGGATGATCAGAACAGAGTCCACTGACCGTGTGGCCGCTCAGCAGGAAGAACAAGGACCTGAGCCGTTCTACGTTCATCGGTGTGTTCTGAAGGCAGTAACCAAGGTGTCTGGAGAGTTCCTGTTGTAGACGATCCTTGACCTTCTGGTCCCTGAGGGGCAACACAAAAACTTCACCAGTCTGTACCACAACGACCCATACTTTTGTTCTAGGAGGGGACAAGCTGGCTTTTACCTCGGACCCAGAGACAGCAGCAGCAGGTCCGCACTGAGGCGCAGCTGGTTGAGAACAGCTACTTCCTCCATTAGAGGCCAAAGCCGAGTCCTGCGGCTGAGCTGGAGCCGCTCCTGTCGAGTCATGAGGACTCCCCCTGCTGCTTCGTCTTCCTCAACCATGGAACAGACCTCCAGGAGACCTTGAAACGTCATGTGAGACTGCTGCTGATCCACTTTAGACACCAGCTTGTCCAGGAGCCCTGACAGGGGGACATTGTAATTTACAGTGAGAACACACACAGGGTCTATGATCTCACACTAGAGCTAGATCAACACAGATCTAGACACACACAGAGCTAGATGAACACAGGTCTATACGAACACAGGTCTAGATGAACACAGATCTAGACAAACACAGATCTAGACGAACACAGATCTACATGATCACAGGTCTAGATGAACACAGATCTAGACGAACCCAGGTCTAGATGAACACAGATCTACATAATCACAGATCTACATGAACACAGATCTACATGAACACAGATCTAGATGAACACAGATCTAGACGAACGCAGATCTAGACTAACAAAGCTCTAGACTAACAGATCTAGATGAACACAGATCTAGATTAATGCAGAGCTAGACGAACACAGATCTAGACTAGCGCAGATCTAGATGAACACAGATCTAGATGAACACAGATGTAGATGTACACAGAGCTACATGAACACAGATCTAGACGAACACAGATCTAGACTAACACAAATCTAGATGAACACAGATCTAGATGAACGCAGATCTAGATTAATGCAGAGCTAGATGAATGCAGATCTAGATGAACGCAGAGCTACTTGAACACAGCTGGAGTTTCAGGCCAAATACACACCAGAACCTCCAGCTACTCGTTAAATGTGCTCAAAGAAAATTCATGTTGAAACAAGCGGTACACTGACGTCCCTCGTCACCGAAGGATTTTAACAGTGAATGTTTTCTGTTTTTGAGATGAGTGTTTTTCTGGACTGGAATTGAACAAGGAATAAAATAAACCTTAATGTTTTTGGTGCAAGATATTCAATTGGGGGTGCGGAGAAGAAATGAGGTAGATTTAGTTTTTTCTTGTTCAAGGCGGCGCAGAGTGACAGATCCTGGTGAGTGGCGGGAGCAATTTAATCCACAAGGTGCAGTGCAGGAGCCAGGGGGTGACCAATGGTGGCCTTGTCACCATAGAACAATCTTCAGTCACCCCCCCCCCCCCCCCCCCCCACACACACACACACAACCCTACCCCCATCGACAACTGTCAGTATTGATGTAGCGCGGGGCTTAATGCAAACACGCTAGCAAAAATTCTACTGACGTATCGCTCTGCATCACCCCCGTCGATAAAAACCGGCAGCAACGTAGGGCTAAGCTAGCAGGTGAGCAACACAGATGTGACCTCCACCCCCACTTCGACAAAAACAAACAACAAAGAGCACCCCGCCAAGGGAACTGATCGAGGGGAAACACTGATATGTACAGTGGTGGCCATCTTGGATTTTGACATGGCAACCCAATTTTTGGCAGTGACCTTTCTTACACCTAGCTGTAGCCCCACACCATAATGGAAGTCGGTACCTCAGTTGTTTTTCAAGTCATTATGGTTAAAACATGCATGGACGGATGGAGGATGGAAGGATTCTTTACTCCGCAACGGGAGACAAAAAGGCAGAATTTCTAGAAAATATTAAGAATGTTAAGAAAAATCCCTGTAACTATGAAGACACAACTTACCAGTGTTCTGTGGATCCGGCTGGTTGTTTGCCAACAGAACCAGACCCCATGCTTCAAGGAGGCACTCCTTGATGTCCAGGCTGAGTGTGGCCTTCTGAAGTCGAAGCAGACCTGAAGAGCTAACCTGCCCCACGCTGCTAACATCAAGCGCACCACTCAGGAGTCTGAGGCGAGAGGCGCAGTCAGCCACCGTCTCCAGCTGAGGAAGGATAGTCGTAAACAATGTTACATGACTTGAACAAGAAGCGCAAACAAACAAACAAACATATAAAAACAGCATAACAACAATAAAAAAGATGCACAGATTTCTGGTTCTTCACCCCAGAGGCTGGATGCCTAAACACTCATAATGTATTTATTTTTTGATCAGTGAATGCACCACAGCTAAGCGCTCTGTCATGTCTGCGTTAGCGTGGAAGTTTTGACTGAGTCAATGACGTTAGCTGTACGCATGGACACCTAATTATGTTTTTTAATGAGCCAGCACAAGTAAAAATAAACATATGATTAATACACATATGATTAATACACATATGGTGAGGGTCATAATGCTAAGTTCTTTGGAAAAACCAATGCAGACATATTCCTGTTTTTAGTTTTCTACATTTACTTACAACCTAGTTATTTTTGTTACATTTTTTTAATATCATTTTATTGTTATGACTGTCTATTGTTGTTGTTGTCATCACTCTTTGTTTAAAACAGGTCTCTCTTGTAAATGAGTCCCCGAGGCTCAATGGGATTAGCCTGCATAAATAAAAGGTTGAATGAATGAATTGGCATTCCCCAAACAGGACGTCATTAGCAAATGGAAAGGCAAATCAACTGTACTTATATCGCGCCTGTCTATCTAATCAAGATACTCAAAGCGCTTTACAACAATCTGTGCCTCATTTACCCGTTCATACAGCACTCTACTAGATCTATACAAAGATAATCTGAATCTGTAGAGATTAATCAGTGTTTTATCACATTCATACACTGCTGGGACACACATCAGAGGCAATGAGGGGTTCAGTGTCTTGCCCAGGGACACTTCGGCATGTGACTGCTGGTGGATTCGAACCCCCAACTCTTACATTGGAAGACAAGTGCTCTAACCACTCAGCCACAGCCGCCCCCAGTGGGTGCACTGTGCTCAAGCAGCTCACTAGTGTATCCAGGTCAGTAAAAGCAAAAAAAAAAAAAAAAAAAAAACAGAAAATGGAGTTGTAAAAATTTGATAAAAAAAGAAAAAAGAAATGTGAAGTTTTTAAAATCTGAAGGTCAGAGTAAAAAAAATAATAATAATAATAATTTAACATTTTAATTTCAGCTGAGATATCTCTAAAAGACTGACTAGTTTATTGAAGAGAAACATATGAAACATACAGTATTAACTTCAAATACTTTAACTTAAAAGTATTTCTGTAAGGTGGTTGATTTTTCTCCTCATGACTCTGAATGGTCATAAAGTTAAAGGACAATTAAGAGTTAATATGAGACACTTTGACAAACTGAACCCCACTAACAACTGCAGGACCTCCTTGATTGATGCAACTAAATAATTTCATTTTACAGATAAATGAAAAAACATGATTATTCTATAGTTCTTAGAAAATGCATTTACTGTTCCATAAAACTAAACTGTGCATCTCTTGTGTATGAACATTTGCAAAGCTGAGAAGAGACGGGCGGCGTTTCCACACCTTGAAAGGTAGAACTTTGCCCAGAGTTTTCTGGATCCCCTTCAGAGCTGTGGCCTCAGGTGCTGGAGTGGACACAAGGGTCTGAATGGCTGCTGACACCGCCTGCAACTCCTCCTGAACTCTTCAGGGTAATACAGACACAACAAGAGACAGAAACGTACAGATGTAAGGAACTGAGAGGTCCATGAACTCTGCTTTGAGGAAATGGAAACATGACGTTGAATCCAGAGACGGTCATCTTCCAAAACTCAGAGAGGACTTTATTTAGAGGAACATCCAGAAGGCAACATAAATGAAAGGAACCCATAGAAACATTAATGGAACCACTTCCTTAACTTTGATGAACAAAACTGAAAGTTGTTCTCCTTTAAGTTCACAGATGGCTACAAAAATTATCCTTCACTGTCTTCAAACAAACAGGAGGTGGATCATTTTACACTGAAGTCATGATTTTGATTTTTTTTTGGATATTTCCAATCTTTACTTTTGAACAAGTGGCTAATGTGCCCCGTTTGTAATTTTCTAGATGAGTGTTTGTCTGGACTGGAATTGAACAGAGAATATAAGTAAACCTTAATGTTTTTGTGTAAGATATTTAAGAGAGTAGCAGTTAGACTGTGAATAAAAACAGAGGGAGTTTTATTTTTCATTGTCTGAGGCAGCGCAGAGTGACAGATCCTAGAGTGGACGGAGTCATTTTATCCACCACCAAGTGCAATGGTGGAGCCAGGGGGTGGCCAATGGTGTTCTTGACCACCATAGATTAGAGTTGCATTCGGGACTAAAAAATCCGACTAGGCCCGGCTCAAGCCAGTAGGATTTTTCCGAACCCAACCCGATCATTTAACTGTAATTAAAGACCCGAACACCCCCCCCACCCCCACAGCAAAAAAAAACCTACTTTATTTTAATTAAGCTTTTACTGCTTTTGTAAGCAAATCAGTTTGACGTGATATTTTAAAAACGTATTTCAAAGAAAGGAAGATATAAGATGTCTTGTTTGGCCAAATGGATATTAACATACAAAACAATTAGCCTTAAAAAAAATCAACTCTAAAGATAGGCTATTATACAGATGAACAAAAATATTTTTAGAGCTAAATTATTTGGAAAAATATAGAACGAGGCAGTTTTAATTCAACGCGCTGCTCGCTTTGGCTTTTGTAGCTACCAGGGTGCGGAGTGGGACGCGCGCAGCCGGTGATCCACCTGAAGCTACACTGGACTTTTTTTTTTTTTTTTTACCTCTTTCCACCAGCTGGTCAGCGGACATGCGCGGCCGGTGATCCATCTGAAGCTTAAGACTTTTGTTGCCTCTTTAAACTGGCCGGTCAGACCTGCCTCCTCCTCAACAAGTAGATTAACACAATTTTATATTGTGCATTTTTATTTAGTTTTCTTTCTGCTATATGATTTGTAAAACCGCATCAAAAGCCCGAGACCGACCTGGCCCGCCCAGGAAGCACATTATTTTTGCACCACTCAGCCCGAATTTCAGGTCAGGCCGGGCTCGGGCTAGAAATCACAGCTCTACCATAGACTAAACTTTGGCCACCCTGATCATTTGAGGAAAATGTGTTTTGAGGCAATATAGGGGGGAGTGGTGGCGCGGAAGTTGGAGGGGGTGGGCCTGTGGTCGTAGGATCGCCAGTTCAGGCTCCGGTGCCGACGGCATCGGAAATGTGGGTGGGGTGCCCACTCCTGCCCCCACCCTCGTTCGCCCCACCCTGGGCCCATGAGCAAGGCCCTTAACCCCCATCTGATCCCCAAACAGGTCTCTCTTGAAAATGAGTTCTCGTGGCTCAATGAGACTACCTGTATAAATAAAGGGTAAATGAAAATGAAAAATAAAAACTAGAAAGCATAGTTTCTTCAAATGATTTAAATTCATACATGTGTAAATATACTGTATGATTTTGAAATTAAGACCTAATTTTCACTTGTGACCTTTCGTAGCCATACACCAAAATGGAAGCCAGTTCCTCACTTATTTATTAAGTTATCTAGCTCACAAGCGCGGAGGGACGAAGGTATTTCCAGTTCCCTCTCTTCACTCTGCGATGGGAAACAGCAAACCATTACAGATTTACAGATTTGAAGTATTGATTTCAAACTTGGCCAATTGATCATTAAGGATGAAATGTTATCAAAGTGTCTGCCACAATTTATTATTTTATAAGTGTTTCAAACAAGGTATCCCCATTTAAGTTCATTAATCTCAAAAGGTTTTGCTTATAAACAAATTAAAAATACTTTTTAATTTCCTTTAGTAAGATAATAGAAGGATCTACATTATTCTGATAAATAATAAAATTATATAAACAAACGGTTCTAGGAAGATAAATTAGTCTACCCTCTTTACTCTGGGTTTAATATGAAGTTCTCAGTTTTTTATTCAGTCAGAACTTTTCTAGCTTTGTTGCTAAGAAGACAAATGTTTGTTGCAAGAAGACTATTAACAAATGGATTTTTGTCGACGGGTAGGCGAGGGGGTGGAGACGGAAAAACGTACGTGTTGTGCGCTAGCTTAGCACTATGTTAGCATCGGCAGATGTCGATGGGTAGGGGGGATGCGCAAGAGAAGCGGAACGCCACGTCTTAAGTGTTTTTAGCTAGCACATCTGTTATGCGCTTTGTGCTACTTCAGAGCCGGCAGTTTGGGGGGGGGGGGGGTCAGTAGGCAGGGCGCTCGGTTCTGCCGACAGGGCAGAGCGCACTCCTTAGAAGACGGTAGATGAAACACTGATGTGGAAAAACAGCAAAACATCAAACAATGCAGTCTTCAGAAAAAGACTTACTCCAAAGTGATGCCAGGGTCTCCCAGAAGCAGCTGAGGAAGGCGATGGACGAGATGTTTCTGCACCCACTGCCAGTGCAGAGCGAGCACAGCAACGCCGCGGGCGTCGGCCGGCAGCGAGCTGCTCACGCTCCAGAAACGATCGAGCCACTGAAGCTGCTCCAGGATCTGTTCTCCAGAAGACACAAGACCAGGTTCACAAGAGAAGAGACAGCCCTGCGGAAGGTTGGGTCTGATGTCTCACAGGAAATGTTTGCTCATTAAAGTCACTGTGGGTGGTGGGGGGGGGGGGTTGACTTCTGTTCTACAATATAATACAATACAACTTTATTTATAAAGTACTTTCAAAACAACACCACAGGACAAACTGCTCTTCTACTCAAATTCATTTAGATGAAAACATTAAAGCAGGTTTAACAATCGAAACACTAATAAATATATATTTATATATATATATATATATATATATATATATATATATATATATATAT